CGTGTAACTCCCCGCGTAACCAAAATAAGCTTATCCGTACGAACCTGTAGTCATACCGAGGCATCGCGAGTCGGCCGAACAGTACCGAATGTCGAAGGACATAGGGCCGTGCTGAACTCTCTGAAGGTTCAGAGTTTACAAGAAATAAAGCGTAAAGCCGGTCCTATTTGATGAGTCGTAAAGTAAAGACACTTCTACAGCGGGAAGCCTCCCCGCACTCGTAAAGAGTCCGAATCACGTTGCAGAGTCCGAATTGCGATTGAGTCCTATGTTGACGACCTCGCTTTTCGAGACAAATACAGTAATAAAAGACACTGAGATACTGCTGTAAAGTCTCGTAGCGACCAACTTCGGGGATGATGGAATATGAATCAATAAAGATTACAGCAATTTATCAGCTTGCAACCAATCCGGCGTGTTTCGCGGAGCTCGTAGGCGCCGAACCCCGATCATGGCTCGTAACGATTCGGAGACTATTCGTCGCCAACACCGAGTCTGGATACATCATAACCTTGACTGCTTGGAAGGCATGTAACAAGCTCAGTTTTATGGGTTGCTAGAAGAGCTAGTATTGCCATACATAGGTCATGACCTATTCAGTAGGGCCTCTCGATGTAAGCTTTATGCTTTTGCTAGAGAATCAACCTAGACGTGGCAAGGTTACTCCTTGGCCGCTCGGCCAGTTCCGAACAACATCAGTGCGCTTCGCAAGCTGCGTATTGAACAGGAAGAGAATATTCCAAGCCTTGTTGTTTGAGGGGTAGACGAACAGCCTTCTTCCTCCCCAGGGAAATGATCTTGAATGACGCCAGACCATCATCCTTTGGCACGCCCCGTGATCGGATGGCATCGGCCAGTTCTCCCCGCCGACGCCGTCATTAACTAATGAGTCTAGCATATGGGGCCGCTCGATGAGCCTCCCGGAACTACGGTCCGATGAAATGTTAGATCTGAGGGCACGGCGAGATCTCATAGGGTGATCGGAAACCATATCCCGAGATCTCCACTTCACGAGACCTGGGGATTCAACTACGCATGAAGATATTTCCAAACAATCTAGACCAAAAGCTACAAGAATCGCCGCGTTTAAACGTATAGATTAAGGTGGCTTCTTCGGCTCAGACGCCGGTGCTGGCAGAGTACCCTCACGGAGCGATCCGGGGGGTGGGCCCGCCGAGAACCGGCCCCATCCGGGGCTGAAACGGGCAATTCTGGCCGATGGAGAAGCAGCCGGGCATTTCCCCAGAATCGTTGAATAATTCCCTTTCCAGAACTTCTCAGAGAAAGGAACGCGTTATACACCAGTTAACGGCGCATGACGTATCAAACCTCTTTGAATGAACCAAGCGAAAACACTGTGGAGAGAAAACCCACCAGGTCACGGTCTTAAATACCCCGCGCTTCCCCTCCACATCTACGACAATTGACTTCTTCAAAGCATTAAGAGAATACTCTGCTCACCACTTTCGTTGTCACGACATCTCACACGAAAGGAAACATGACCATCCGCAACGGCCAGACGAACGGGGCTCGACCCTCCAGCACCTCATCCACACGTCTCTTCTCGCCTTCTGAAACCTCCGCAATAGATTCATTCGCATCCCTCTGCTCCCAGTCAGCAACACCGGAAGACTACCCCTTAGCCGCCTCGATCGAGAAGAACATCCCCATCTACGACCTCCCGCCGTACGCCAGCCTCGACCAAGACCAGCGCGCGGCCCTCCAGGACGAGTGGTACCGCGTCCTCATTTCCGGCCCAGGCGTCTTCGTCACCAAAGGCCTCTACCGCGACAGGTCCCTAATCGAAGCGGCCAACGCCGCGTTCGCGTCCATAATCGAGGAGGAGAAGAAATCAGGCGTCGCAAAGGGCGACCACTTCGCCAGCGCCGGCAAGAACGACCGCATCTGGAACTCCTTCAGCAAGCACGGCCTCGCGGACCCGGCGTCGTTCGTCAAGTACTACGCGAACCCCTACCTCGGCCTCATCTCCAGCGCGTGGCTGGGGCCCGGGTACCGTATCACCGCACAGGTGAACAACACCAAGCCCGGCGCCGCGCCGCAGGTCTGCCACCGCGACTACCACGTCGGCTTCCAGACCGCCGCGGCGTCGGCGCAGTTCCCCCGCGCGATGCAGGTTGCCAGCCAGATTTTGACGCTGCAGGGTGCTGTGGCTCACTCCGAGGTCCCCATCGAGAGCGGGCCGACGAGGTTGCTGCCTTTTAGCCAGACCTTTGAGCCTGGGTATGTGGCGTACCGACGGCCCGAGTTCAACGAGTTCTTCTTGAAGAACTACGTGGCGTTGCCGTTGGAGGTGGGCGACGGGCTTTTCTTCAACCCTGCACTCTTCCACGCGGCGGGGGAGAACCTGTCAGCCGATGTGTACCGGATGGCGAATTTGCTGCAGATCAGCAGTGCCTTTGGCAAGCCCATGGAGTTTGTCGATGCTGTTCCGTTGGTGGAGAAGACTTGGGACCACTTGGTGAAATTATACGAGGAGCAAGGGATGAGTGAGGAGGTCAAGTCTTTCATAGCTGCCGTCGGCAACGGATATCCTTTCCCAACAAATCTTGACAACAACCCGCCGAGAAATGAGGGCATGGCCCCAGAGTCGGAGCAAGACAATATCACCAGCAGTCTTGTAGGCAAAAAGAGCGGGGAGGAGGCGGTAGATGCGTTGAGGAGCTTTGTCACTAGGTCAAGGACATAGATAGAAACCAAGACTTGGATTGCTCATATGAAACACAGCGATATTGTAAGGGGCTGGCCCCTAGGCTTGTTCAACGTAGAGGTGCCGTCGATTGACTATTCTAAGCTGAAGAAGGAGGAAAGGACTTTACAGGGATAGGCGCCTAGCAGCAGTGATGCAGACCGGGGCTAGGCGGTGTGCTACAGCAGAATAGTGGATCCGGCGGAGCCGGATCTCGGTAGCTGCTCCGGCAAAGCCGGAGATCTCGGCCGGGCTCTAGCCCGTTACATTACCTCCCCGCTCCCCTCCGGCGGCGCGTCCGTGGCGCTAGAGCTAGGTCTCCATCGTGCTTCATCGCGGGGCCGTAACGTTGTTCGTAAGCCTCTATCGCTTCCGTCCCCTGGAGCGTCTCGATAGGCTCCCAGGTTCTCTCTGCATATCCTTCCCACTTAACCAGCACTTCACGGCGTCTCCCACGCCCTCGACGCTTCCAGGCGGCGGCGTCGATACTCTCTACATTCCAGGTCTCCTCGCCTTCGTCATCTATAATTGGGGGCGGCTGCTTGTCGTCCAGCGTTTGCCCAGGTAAAGGGTTGTTACCTGCACGCTTCAGGGTATCCACGTGGAAGCGTAGGTATATAGCTGTTAGCACGTTAAGCTCTACTATATATAGTGAGATAACCTTCGTAACGGTATACTTATGGTGCAACCAATCCAGTTTCTTGCATAGCCTAGGGGACCTGTAGTGGCCTATGTGAAGCCAGACTTTGTCGCCTGCTTCTAGTCTCTCCGTAGGCTGGCGCTTCCTGTTAGCCAGCTCCTCATAGCGTTGCTGCGTTGAGGCAAGGGTCGACTATGCCATATCCATCACATCCTGGAGCCTTGTTACCAACTTGCGTGCCAGGTCCTCGCGAGGGCCCTCATGGTCTTCTGGGTCTGCCTCTTAAACCCAGACAGGCTCTGGGTGGTATCTGTGTTCTAAGAAGAAGCTGCTCATGCCTATAGCGCTGCTATCGCAGCTGCAGAGCGCTAGTTGAGCTGCTGGGAGGTTATTCGCCTAATCCTTCTGCAAGTAGGTAATATAATTGCATAGGTAGGCCTGGATCTCTTGGTTCATCCTTTCTGGGCCTCCATCAGTCTGTGGGTGATAGGCAGTACTGAGCTGCTGTTCTATTCCTAAAAGCTTGCAGAATTGCCGCCAGAAGCGGCTCGTCCAGTTGCTTCCTCTGTCGCTCATAATTGAGGTAGGGACGCCGTGGAAGCGGAAGTGGCAACTCAGGAATCGTTCAGCGCAGGCTTCAGCTTCCATACTTTCCATAGCTTCAAGGGTTACGCCTTTTCCTAGCCGGTCGATAATTACCCAAAGGTATCCCTCACCCTTATCCATAAGGGGAAGGTTGGTAATAAAATCCATAGCGAGGTTGCTTCGTATACGCTGCGGTATTAGTAGAGGTTTCAGAAGTCCTTTTCGATGCTCTCTCCAGATGTGGCTTCGCCTGCAGCTATCGCAATTGCAGCAGAAGCGTCATACTAGCTGTGACTGGCCAGGCCAGTAGAAGCGCCTACTGACTAACGCAAAGGTATTATCTCTACCAGGGTGGCCACTAAGTACTGAATTATGGCTGCTTTGAACGATATAAGTACGTAGTGTGTTCGCCTCGCTATCTAGGTCTTCACTACCTGGTACCTAGATCTAGTCTCTGAATAGTAGTCGGTTGCTATTATCGATCTCACACTCAGCAATCTGGACCTTTAGCTTGAGGCTAGGAGGGAAGCTTCTTTCTCGTTATTTCACAGCATTATATGCCTGCTGGTAGACTTAGTCTTACCCTTAGGTCTGGTCCCAGAGTCGCTATAGTTCCTTATCGTTAGTGAACATAAGCACTGATGGGGCTGCATCTACGCGTTGTGTACTCGTTAAGGTAAGGGCTACTTCGGGAAGAAGCTGGAGAATCCAGCCTTATTCGCGCTCGTCCTCTAGAGACATAGGTACGTCTTATTTGCATCTAGAGAGTGCGTCTGGCACTACTGCTTCACTTCCTGGCTGGTACTATATCTCGAAGTTATACTGAGATAGTTCCTCTGCCTATCAGCTTTATCGTTCTGTGAGCCTCTGCTTTGTTATGAAGTACTTCAGGTTCTTATGATCAGATAGAACCTTAAACTTATTGACGCTCTGCAGTTCCGCTCTCCATGCTTATAGGCAGCTAATAATAGCTAGCATCTCCTTATCGTGGATTAGGTAGTTGAACTGGGCGGCATTCAGCCGCTGTAAGTGGTATGCTATTGCGTGACGTCTCCTATGCTCATCTTCTTATGACAGTACTCCTCTAAGGGCGAAGCCTGAGCAGTCAGCCTCAACATAGGTTGTACGCTCAGGGTCTAGTTGATATAGGATAGGCTTAGCTGCAAAGATCCTCTTAAGCTCCTGGAATGCTACTTCCTGCTCTTTACCCCAGTGGAATAGGACGCCCTTCTTTATAAGAGATATAAGGGGTCCAGCAATCTCTGAGTATGCTGGGATGAAGATCCAATAGTAGTTTGCAAACCCTAAGAAGCTTCTAACTCCCTTAACCGTCTTTGGCGCAGCCTATTCCTTGATTGCCTTCAGCTTCTCAGGATCGCAGGAGATGCCTACTCCTGTAGTGATAATAAACCTTAGGTACTTAGCTGTCTTCACAGAGAACGCACACTTATGAGGGTCTAGCTGGAGCCCTATAAGAGCAAGCTTCCGTAGTACTAGCTTAACCTTTGCTTCGTGGTCTTGCTATGAGCTATTTGAGTAGATCAGTACGTCGTCCATATATGCTGTAGCGAAATCGTCTAGGTACTCTCAAAGCACTCTATTGATATATCGTTAAAACGTAGCAGGGGCTCCCGTGAGCCTAAAGGGGACGACAAGCCACTCAAATAGCCTATATCTTGTTTGGAAGGCTGTCTTATACTCCTCTCCCTCTGTGATTCAGATCTTATGGAACGCTGCTACTACGTCTAGCTTAGTGAACCACTTAGCAGCGCTGACAGTCTATAGCGTCTCTCGAATCAGAGGGAGAGGGTATCAGTTGCGCCTTATAAGTTCGTTAAGGGCGCAGTAGTCAACATAAAAACATATCCCTCCACCTGGTTTGCATATAAACAGTACCAGGGCTGATGCTTCTGAGCTACTAGCGCAGATAAAGCCCTTATCTAGTAGGTCTCTCAGGGTCTTACGGAGGACGAGAAGCTCTTCTCGTGACATGCTGTAGAGCGGCCCCCATGGTAGTACGGCCTCGTTGCTGTCGCTCTCCTGTTTGATAGGGATCATATAGTCGACTCCAGGGCGATGCAGAGGAAGGTTAGCAGCTTCGTCAGGTTGGAATAGCTCTTAGAACTCAGCTAGTACAGCTGGTGGAAGGAGGGCCTTTAGGTCTGCCTTCTCAGTCTTCCTCATAAGAGCCTTCTATATATCTGCTAAGCTGATCGCTTGAACTTCATATCCTGCAGTTCCTTTGGTTCGTTATCGTGCCCTCTTATAGAGCGTTGCAAAAGGGGCTCCTGGGAGGAGGCGGGCAGCCCTGATCCAGCGCACTCGCTCTGGCTCTTCCTCGCCTTTCAGACGTAAGTCTACACCACCCCTCCTATGCTGTATACGCTAGGCAGCAGCATCATATAATATACGGTTCCTCTCCATCCAGGGTTTCCCTAAGAACAGATCGTCGCTAAGGCTACGTATGGTATACGCGAAGATCTTCTCATCATAACCGCACAGCTTGAGGTTAAAGACAACCACACCTGTTGCTTTTGTAGCGCCTGTAGCGTCGCTGAAGCTGCCTAGTACTCGCTCAGAGCGGTCCACTACTGGCAGGCGGAGCTTGCAGGCCAGGTCGTGGTCGACAAGGGCGTATAAGTCGCACCCTATATCTATCACGGCGTCTGCTTAAGTGCCCTTATATATGCAGGTAGTAATCACTGCTGACTTGCTGCTCATGCGATGCTTAAACTGCTTCCATTTTGTGATATCACTAAGTTCAGCCTCTAACGCCCAACTTTGCGGTGGAGTTACTCTTTTCCTAAGCTCTCTTCAGCCTCAGAGCTTCCCAACTCCTCTATAAGACTCTTATCGCTGCTCTCTTCTCGCTTCTTAGCTTTCTTAACCTTCGCAGGATAGGAACGCTTCGGCTTAGGACACCATATAGCAATATAGCCGATCTGGTTGCAGTTGAAGCACTTACAGGTGTCTCTCACGAGCTGCAGCAGGTCTTCAGATGAGGAGCTGCTTTGTTAGCGACATGACTTTGTCTTCTCCTTGCCCTTAGCGCGGCTGACGCCAGACATCAGTATATCTCCATCTGCGTCTTATTAGCGGTTAGGTTGCAGCACTTTCTGAGAAGTGTAACTGAGGTAGCGTTCCCTAAGCTTCCTGCTATCTAAGCAGGATCCTATAGTGAGAAGCAGTTTTATAAACTAGTGGTAGTCCTTTGGCGCTTCTGGTACCCCTATTAATAGGTTGCTTAACTAGGAATTCAGTACGCCCTCTAAGTAGTTGATCTTGATCTTATCTTGCTAAGATCCTCCCACACTTGCTGCAAGCTCCTTCTCAAACTTAGGAAAGAAGGAAGTAAAACTCTCTTCCTCTCGTTGCCGCATAGTGTGTAACTTATCCAAGGCTTAGGCTTCAGCGTTTAGGTCCCTATACGTTCTTTCGAGATAGTCTATAAATCGAGCTGAGGAGGTGTCTCCTCAGGCTACTCCATCAGCGAAGAAGGCGGAGGATGTCGCTTAGGCGGTTCCCTCCAGCCTGGCGTAGATATATGCAAACGCGCTCTCTTCTCCGTCTATAGCTTCAGCGTCGATCTGTAGCTTCAAGTTTATCTCTAGAGCCTACTGTGGAAACCATCATCTTATGCTATCGAACTTTAGGGGGTCAGGAAGCGTTAGCCTCAGTCGTCTAGTTGAGGTTGGTTTATAGGGCTCAGCCACTATTATTGCAATACCGTCGCTTATTGCCTATGTAGTCGTATCAGCTGTAGACAGGGTAGGTACGCTGCTCGCAATCAGCATAAGGGTTGCTCTATCCGTTAACATAAGCCCGTTCAGAGCTGTCAAGAGCTGCATCATCTGGTCCTGAAGAGGACGTATAGTTGCGTTAACCGCTTCGTTGATCCAGCGATCAATCTCAGCGTTCATTACGTCGTTTGCGCTACCCTCTGGCGGATCCATCATGCCGCTCTCATGAGGTTCTATATAGCGTCTTCTCGTTACGCTACCCTCAGCGAATCGTCGTGTCGCTCTCGTGAGGTTTCATATAGCGTCTTCTCGTTACGCTACCCTCAGCAAATCGTCGTATCGCTCTCGTGAGGTTTCGTATAGCGTCTTCTTTTGTTGAGCTTAGAATATGTAAGGGGCTGGCCCCTAGGCTTGTTCAACATAGAGGTGCCGTCGATTAACTATTCTAAGCTGAAGAAGGAGGAAAGGACTTTACAGGGATAGGCGCCTAGCAGCAGTGATGCAGACCGGGGCTAGGCGGTGTGCTACAGCAGAATAGTGGATCCAGCGGAGCCGGATCTCGGTAGCTGCTCCGGCAAAGCCGGAGATCTCGGCCGGGCTCTAGCCCGTTACAGATATTATAGTTCAAATAAGTAGTGAAGGAAGGGACACGATACCATACATCTCGTTCGGCCTATAGATTAATGTCATAAATAGGAGTAAGGTGGCGTGGCATTTGCTAATCCCGAGGACTGGCTGCGACTTCAGTAGCTTTACCAGAGATAAAGAAGCGTTGTGATTAGACTGGAATAGGAGCCTTCCAGGAAATAGCATTATATTTATACCTTGTAAAATTGGAGGGGAGAGGTGCGCTTCCTACTTCAAGGTGCATGCCTAGACTGACCTATCTTAGACACTGAAGCCGCTAATTATCTTGCCTTGATACGGATAGGGCCTTGATAGGTTTTTGCAACAAATTGTCCAGTAAATAGATGTCCTTGAGGGGTTAGGCCCCGCAACATCAATGTGGCTTGCTCTCTCCCCTTCTCTGTCCTTGAGATAATGCTTTAGTTTAGGAACAACGGGCGGTTTCACGGTATTCATTCTGCTCCTGTACATGAACAATATGAATCGAAATTTTGCCGAAGTGAAGACACATTACCAGTAACAAGGACACTTTTTGCCTCTTTTCTTCTCGGGCCCTCCCGCAATGGCTTCAGTGTCCAGGAACAGCAAGCATTATTCAGGGCCCTGAACCTTCTCCAGCGTGAAAACTCCATCAATGGCTAAATGTCATCGTATTACCGAGACCCAGCTGCGCGAGTGGCTATTGTGGCACGTGTAATCAGAAACTTTCAAGCTGTTCTGACAAGAACAAGTAACTAAGTTCCAACTCGTTTCCCCATTTTTCTCTACACTTCATTTTCACAAACTCCAAGATTCCTACGCCTGTTAATGATTTTGAGAGGCTGAAGGAGTTGTACGACAATTCAATGCGAAAACCCCCATACAAAAGCCATCGAACTGCCCACTACGTGCTTTCCATCCGACCATTCCAGTCTGCCAAAGGCCGTGGCATTAGCAACACGAGATGGTTGCATCTTCGCTGCTACTACATAAGTTCGCTTTTCCCCCTCAGATTTAAACTCAAGCGCAGCGGGCTTCACGCTAACAGTGACCATGTCCGGGTTATCTACCAAGACGTGAACGTTGTAAGTTCCGGCACCGCCTACATTCTTAACAGTACGCGAGAACATAGCCGTGTACGTCCCGTTCGTCGTTGAGACGTTGTAGAACGCGGCGAAGGAAGGATAGTTGAGGTCGTAGACGCTGCGTTTCACCCCAGGAGCGCAGGTAAAGTTGCTGCGTGTGATTCCTCTCGTGAACTCGACCGTAGTGTTAAAAGCGCAAAGAGAGTCGCGGTACTCGTCCGGGGAGATATCATAGACGAGACCCGGGTCTAAGGCAGCTATCGGGTCCACGTGGCCGTTTCCGTAATTGAGAGGGTTCGCAATAGTGTTATTCGGCTTTTCTAATATCGGCGATGAGGTGCCTTTGAGTGTGGTATATGCGGTAGTCATGATCGCGGACCGGACCTCGGCGGCGCTCCACTTTGGACGTCGTGCCATGATGGAGGCCGCGATGCCAGCCAGATGGGGGGCGGACATGGAAGTTCCAGAGATGATGGCGAAATCACCCTTATTAGTGCTTGAGTTGTCGTTTGTCCAGCCGGCTAGAATGTCTACACCCGGACCGGTGATGTCGGGCTTGAGCAGGTTAGGCGCCGCCATGTTTGGGCCTTTACCGCTGAAGCCGGCAATGACCGGTGCGGGTATGCCGACTCTGCCGTCACGAAACTGAAAGGTAACTGTGGCATTCGGCATTTTTGCATAAGCCTCCACTTCAATGCTTTGCTTGTAGCTCAAGTGTATCCCTGGCAGGACGTAAGAGGATGCGTACGTCTCATCACCCAGCATGGCCGGGCTGACAATGATAATTCCACGACCGCCGGCTTCTTTGACGACCTGTCCCTTTGCTCTCAGAGAACCCCTTCCCAAGCGACAAATGACAGCCTTTCCGGTCACTTTCTTCGGGTCAAGGCTGTTTTTCAGGCAGAAAGATGCGGTAGAAGCGTTACCCCTGCTGACGTCGGCGCCGAGAACGAGACGGAGCATCCGGGAATCCGCTGCTGATTGGTTCTTTTCCCCTTCGGTACTATCTCTGTACAAACTGGCGCCAGTTGCAATTTTGTTGCTTCCCAGATTGAGGTCGGCAGGAAAGTCGCGATCCAGCGTGCTGGCGGCGACAGTCATCGCCCATGGTGGAATATTCTTCACCGTGCCGGGTTCGGGCCCGTCGTTGCCGGCGGATAAGGAGACGAAGATGCCCTTTTCCATGGCGGCGTAGCTTCCCACGACAATCGCGTCGTGATCGTGAAATACGGTTTCGTTAGGGCCCAGGGACAACGACAAGACATTGACGCCGTCCAAAATGGCTTGGTCTATGGCAGCGGCGATGTCGGACTCTGCGCAGTCTTCCTTCCAGCAGACCTTATACATAGCTATACGGGCGTATTTAGCGATACCGCGGGCGGTGCCTTTTGCGAGGCCATTAAAGCCTGCATTTCGAACCTCGGAACCGGCCGCGGTAGTGGAAGTATGCGTGCCGTGGCCGATGCTATCCCTAGGGGATTTATACTCTCCAGTCCAGTTGAATAGGTTAGTCGCATTTGACCTCGTGGCAGTGTATCCCTTATAATAGAATCGCGCTCCGATCAGCTTCTTATTGCAGGTTTTAGCCGTCCACTGTTCTCCTTCCTCACATTGTCCTCTCCATTTCCCCGGAATGGGGCCCATCCCCTCGTCGCTGTAACCTGGGTTCTCGGGCCAAGCTCCGGTGTCAAGCAGGCCGATGATAACATTCGACTCGGCTTCTTTGACGTCTGTTTCATTTCTCTCCTCAAGATAAGCGCTCTGGCTTAAAGAGGACTGCCCGTATAGGTCTTCGTTGCTGGCGAGGCCGAGAAACTGAGGGGTCCTGGTGGTGTGGAGTTGAAACATCCTTTCAGGCCTCACCGACAACACACCTCCGTAGGCGCGCAACGCTTCGGCTTGTGCATCGGTAAGCTGAGCAGCGTATCCATTCATGACACTGGAGTAGGTGTAGAGAACAGAGGCAGGATCCGCATCAATTGCGTCGAGAGAGGCTTGTTGCAAGGACCTCCGACGCGCGCCACTCACGCTCTCTGCCTGCTCCATGTGAACGATGTACGTTTTCTTCTGTTCTTCTGCCGCGAAAACCGCTTCTATGAAAAGTGCACTCAAAAGGAGCCCCCAGATGTATTTCGCCATGGTACTGGAAGTAACTCGGGACGTGCGACTATAGACAGCTATACAAGAACAGTATATTCTCTGGATAAGAAGTGTTGAAAAGCTAAGCAAGAGGCAGTTTGCATGGATTTTACCCCGATTAAGATAATGTGAAGCCTCAAGAGCCGGCGAGAGATTGTCAGAACTTTGTTCGGGTGCCGAAGCGCCATCCAGAAAGGCTCCCTCAAGGATGATGGGATGGCGCTTGTAAGTAACGAACCTGAGCGTCTGCGACCATCTCCCAATGATATTCCTGGGAACTTTCGGGTATTATCCAGTCAGGCATATAAGCTCCTTCGTGGTTCCCGATTCCTTCTTAACTACTCTATATCAATATTCCATTCGCATGCAGTGTAAGAATAAGCTCAGACTACTTGCCAAGGAGTCGGACAAATTGGGCCGTCGTGTCTCTTGGGTCCTGCCATAGAAAAGTAAAAAAAAGGCGTAGAAAAGTAATTCTTCTCGTTGGAACCAAGCTATGACCAAAAAGTACCGGCCGGCTTTCCCATTTACCCCTCAAAGGTATCCTTTGAGTCATGTATTCTAGAAATCCGCACAGTCTTGCACACGCCCAATCCTTTTTCTGGCCCGGGTGCGTTTCCATATTCTTTGGACCAAAGTACGCAATTACACCACGGCGAATTGAACGACAATGCAGCACACTGCACGCAGCCAGATGTCTCCTCATGCAAACCCTTCACCTAGCGACGATGACACGAAGCCGTGTCTAGTATCGGAAAATTCATACACAATCTCAGAATCAAGTCCATTACTCTCCGATGACTTCCAACCACTGGTCCAGCCTCAGAAAGCCGCAGCTCACCGCAGTGATGTCGACATATCCACCAATATCACCGCCACCGTCCATGAGCCCAAGAATCATAGAGTTGACAGCACTGATACCGTCTTATACGCCGTCATCCTCCTCTTCGCTAGCTCAGCCGGGTTGTGGACCATTCCCACCACCCGCCAAGTCGAGGATATCGTATGCCGGCAGCACTACGGCGTGCTGAAGCCTATCGGCGAGAACCAGTGCAAGGAGGATTCCATTCAAAGCAAGGTCGCTATGGTATTCGCCATCTACGGCTCTCTCCAGGCCGCCATAGCTGCGGTGGCTGCATTACCCTGGGGCATTGTTGCAGACCGAGTAGGGAGGAAGATAGTTTTCCGGTTAGCTGTGCTGGGTACGATGCTCGATCAGCTATGGTTCCTTGCGGTTTGCGCGTTTACCCCGGCAATTCCACTCAACACGATGTGGGTTGGCTCGTCCCTACTGGTTATCGGCGGAGGCAATCCTGTTGTGTCTGCTGTGATATTCTCAATGCTCACCGATATCACCACTCCTGAAAATAGGTTAGTATAATATGCCCCGTTTCGTGATGGCTTCTGCTCACCATGCTCACAGAGCTAAAAAGTTTATGACTGCCCATCTGTCATCCATGATTGGAAACCTCGGCTCTCCTTTGATCGCCGGGTGGATGATGGACAAGACCGGACCGTGGCCAGTCATGTGGCTGTCGCTGTTTGGTTTCGCAACCGTTGGCTATGCCATCCGCCTCATCCCGGAGACACGACCGGCAGCCCGGGCTCCGAGAGATGTTTCTATGGATTGGCCTACCATCAACGTTTTTCAGCGCTTATCTCACCACTTGAGGAAAATCTCAAGTCTTTTTTTGATGCCGTCTCTGGTCATCCTCATATTGGCAATGCTTGCCTTATTCCCCATTACGCTGTCTATCTTCCAGTTTATGATCATCTTCGCCTCTAGGCGCTACCAGATTCCAACGTCTCAAACGGGTTTTCTCTCATTCTTTTACGGCTTCAGTGTCTTCATCGTCATTACCGCCGTCTTACCAAACTTTTCAAAGTTTCTCGTCTCACCCCGGGCACCAAAAATCATGCGCTTTACTGACAGCAACAAGCGCGATCTCTTTCTCGCCCGGGCATCTTGCGCCATGTTCTTACTTGGCAGCCTATGTATGGCTGTTTCGCCGACTTTGAACGCCTTTACCGGCGGGCTCGCGCTCTTGTCACTTGCTTCAGGCTGGGGCAGCTATGCGCGCAGTCTTTGTGCGTTATACGTGGACAGCGCGCACAGGACGCAGCTCTATTCAATTATGTCGCTCGTCGAGACAGCCGGGATGATATTTGCACAGCCTGTGCTTGCTGGTCTCTTCAGTTTGGGCATGGAACTTGGCGGCTTCTGGATCGGATTGCCATATCTAGGTTGCGCTTGCTTTTGCGTTGCTGCGTTGGGACTGTTGCTCTTGGTGAGGCTTCCGGCGCTACGAGGCGGATGAAATCATGCTTAGATACTTAATTGTTTTCTTCTTCGACCCTGATGACGTTTTCTTTAGAACATAACAACTCTTTCACACATGGTATCTTATACAAACACTGCCGTTATGCTGGCCTCTTTCCCACAACGCGGATAATTATTCCTAAGCAAGAGGCATTTTACCCCAAGCTATCTAGTCCACAGAGCCATCTTTCCAGATGCGATATCTCTATTAGACATTTAAAAGTAGACAATGCTGTTGTGTATTACTGACATTGCAGATAACGCCAGACTGAAGAACACGGTCCATACAAATGGCTGTCCTTGGTCCGTGACTTTAACAGAACGGTTCGTCTTCCTTTTTGGCAACTACAAGACGAACTGCTGCAGGCAGCAGGCATGATCCCTGAATACACGCCTGGTACAGGCTGCAGGTGGCTAGACCTCACGACTTCTACGATACTGCATGATACACATGTAAGGAGATAAGCATTACAAGATGTCAACGACTTAACTTGGTAGTTAACTAGTTAGCATGTTAACATCATTCGACCACCAAGGCGTATTGTCCCTAGCTTTGTGCGGTGTAATCCGTTGGTCTCATTTGGTTAGGTTAATCCCCACGCCAGGACTATGTGACTAACAAACATGAGATTGCCACCATTTACAATGGGCAGAGTACAGTACACCCATATCGCGAGTCCGCCGCTCAGAGCCGCCAGTGTCCAACGCAGTCATTCTGGTCTGCGGTGTAGATTCCACCTGAAAATAAGACATCTCGCCTAGTGATGCAATGAATACATTAGTAATCGGTGCTGTGAAACTGCAACAGATTTGTTCAGAAACTTACCGCAGAGACTGTGGTTTTGGTTCTTATGGAATCCCCCTATCCGAGGACTTGCTTGGGATCAGCAGCGTCGATCTCATCCTGGTAGGCGTCGGGGTGCTTGTCTCCGTCAACGAACAACTTCAGGATGTAGTTGACGCTGTCCGAAATGTTCTCCTCGGTGACCTTATCAGCAGCCTTATCGCGCTTGGAGGGGGTGTTCATGAGGGTAGAGCGCTTCACGGTGATACTGCCAATGGCGCGCTCAGAGATGGGCGAGGCGGCAACGGAAGCCGCGAGGGTGACAATGATGGCAAGAGTGGCAGACTTCATTTTGATTCTTAAAAAAGGGGATGGTATCCAAGTCAGGACTTGAGAAGAATGTGTTGTTGTTGTGTTGTGTTGATCGTTGAGGCTTTGATGATGAGAGACAAAGAAGTGATTGAAGGGCGGGAAGTCTCTATACTTATATTCAAATGGAAACGTATAAGGCCAACCTGGAAGGAAGCAATTCGTCTGCGTACGTCTGAGCCTTCGGGACTTTTCGCCTTGGGAACGCGATGCGCCTCTCGCATAACTCCTCTCTCCAGTCGGCCTCTCGCTCTAGACATCGAGGCCTCACACTATGCCTCCATTGCATTCAACATCATCGCACGACTCAGCACTTCGGCTCGAATATGAGTCTATCCGTTTGTTCTAAGGGTCTATAGGAATACGTTGTCAAAATGCACTAGCGGCTAACCTTACCCCAACAGTTCCACTGACTCATTCAATAGATGGGCACTTAGTAACATGTTAACTTCGGGTGCGCGCTTGGTCCGACTCATTCAATAGATGCATCATCAAAGCCAAATCAGGGAGTGCCCCAAACGTCTCTTGGGTGCGTATCCGCTCGTTGATGGGAACTGGTTCGCGTTGGCTGACTTCTCTTCTTAGAAGGAAGCCCGGCCCCGACGTTGTCTCCGCGGAACCCCCTCACGCTAGTTACACGATAGTTTCCGTCCGTATGCCTTCAACTTCCATTCGCAACATATCCTAGGCAACCCTACGACTTGTACCTTCTTTGTATCTTCATTAAATACTGCTTGCAACCCTTATCGATCTTAGTTTTGGCCTTTTCCTGATGTGGAATGTTGGCAAGCATCACAACCTAGCCTCAATAATGCCGTTTCCTTGCAAACAACAGAGGAAGCAAAAACTCCGCCAATTCTGCTTCACAGTACTAACCCTTCAACATGGTCCATTAACACGATGAAACGAGCTAGCGAAAAGACTTCGCTAGACTGATCCATATGCACGATGTTCTTCTGACGATGGAATCAGTATATTCTAGAAGGGATTTCTTGACCTTCTTGGAACTCTCCCAGTAAAGAGGAAGTTAAAGTATTTTGCCGCACCGAAATTGACATCTGGAAAATTAAACCTCTCGCATCCTCCGCCACTCCGTCGGCTATACTCTATTTACTTGAGTAAGGGAAGCATTCGTATTCACCCGAGCAAGCGATTAGCGGAAATACGATCATATATCATTCAGAGACTCCTTTTTTCCGCTATCGCCAGACTACGCGTCAGGCACCTTGTCTCCTACTTGTCTAACCCTTCTTCATTCTGTATTCGCCCTCGCACCCAGCCCAACCACAATGCTGTCCACAACGGAAGTGAAGAGCCCATCCTACAAGCCTCTCATGTCGGGCGACAGTCGTGACTCTGAGTCTGTTGAAGACTTTGGCGACTGCCACGCCGGCGAGAAGAGTATTGCGCAGCGCTTCCGCTGGATAGAATGGAACCAACGAGCTCCATCACGGATTACTGGTTTACTTGAGAGCTCCCTCATTCCTCTAAGTATACTGGTTCTCAGCATGGCTTTCGGTTTCGTATTTTCTTTCTTGCGAGCTCCGACTGATCAGGATTGTGCTCGTCAACTGTCTATGTGGTGTAAGTCTTGCCCCTCAACTCTCCTGGCGAAGCTGGGCAGTAAGCCAAAACACAGACGCGTTCTAACTCATACAGCTCCTGCACTTGAGGCCGTTGAATATGTCCAAATGGATTTCAATGACGCCTTTAACTCAACAAGCATTTACCGTGGGCTTCCAACTCCAGAGAGAGAGCAAGCCTGGTTTGACCTCACGTATAGTAAGTTTGCTACTACGTCTCACCCATACCCCAGCCTTCGCCAGCTGACCAAAAACCAGAGCATGCGGTCGAAATCCCGCCTGAAAGGCTTGCAGGTCTCAACCGATCTGAAGAAGATCACCTGAAGCATGTGCCTGAAGATGTAGGCGACGGTTATGTCGCACTGCTTGAGGTCTTCCATCAACTCCATTGCCTAGTAAGCCCACATGACCAGTTTCGCTCCCCAAATCCCGCCGAAATAGGTTTGCTGATACGCTCGCTTTCTGGATAGAACATGATACGGGTTTATACCTGGTGGCAGGTGGGCAAGTATGACAAGATCCCGGTTGGGCTGTCGAACGACCCCCTAAAGAACCGCATACATGTTGATCACTGCCTGGAAGCCCTACGCATCTCACTCATGTGCTTCGCCGACGTCACCCCCCTCATGGTTCGCATAGGCGGACCGGCGGGTGCGCGTGCGGACTTCAACACGCACCACAAGTGTCGCAATTTTGATAAGATTTCAGACTGGATTGATGAAAACTGGACCGTTAGATAAGACTTTCACATTTGGTGCGTCTAAGGCTGTCATAACCCGAGTCTCAAGGGATGCAGTGCCCTTGTCATTCGTTACAATGCGCTGAGGATGAATTGAACGATGAGATATGAAAATTAGAGAGATGCACATCTAAGACAGTTGAATACAATATGTGTCTGTACCTATATATCTGGCCACTTGAGTGAGCAGGCTCCAACCTATATTTCAACTTAAGCCTGTGGCTTAAGAGGGCTTGCTGTTCGTGTGTATCGTTCCGTTTCGCCAAGTTCGCATCTATAGAACATGCCGTCTTGAGCATTTTGATTTCTGACTTCGCGCTGAACTTCTCCGTGAGACAGCACTGGGATAGGTCATGCAGTGATAGTGCTATAGTGCAGTTCTTAGATCCGCATGTATTGACAGTTGAAAATGTTGATATTCGTGGAATGGTCACAGTCGGGTGTTACAATCATTTGTCAACTACGTTCTGGCATCTTATTACATCTGCCGAACACCTAAAACCTTTCCATTTTGTGAACTTCACTCTAAGAACTAAAATAAATCTCAGAAGATACCTCTCAACTCAGTGACAATCTGGTTTCTACGAGCCTCTTGGTCGATGCCCTGCGTATCTTTTCTCATCGCTCTCCACCGATTGTCCATAGATGTTTGAACCAGCTGCCCTCTTTCTGAACCAGCTCTTGCGGAATGCCCTGCTCAACCACCTTTCCAGAGTCGAGCACCACGATTCTGTCGAAGTTCATTACCATGTCGAGTCGGTGGCTTATCATCAAGATAGAATAGCTTTTGAACTCGCTCCATAGAATCTGCTGCATTTGCTTTTCCGTCTCCACGTCGACGCTGCTACTGAACTCATCCAAGATAAGTAGCCCGCCAAAGTTGCTTTCTCGAAGAGCGTCAGATGTTGGCCTCAGTTCTATGTCATCTTTGCCAACTAGGGATCGAGCAGTGTCCACATACTCACTCCCAGCACTTGCGAAGAATTCACGCATACGCACGCGTTTCCGTAAGACCGCCCTCGCCAGGCTGAAAAGCTGTTTCTGTCCAATACTAAGAGCGTCCGCGTTCATCGAAGCCTCGAGCCCGCCTTGGTCACTGACCAATCCCCAGAGCCGCACAGTCTCCAGCACCGCTTGGCACTCTTCATCGGTCGCAATTGTAAAGGGGTCGAGGTTTATTCTGAAAGACACGCCATCTGGAAAGAACACTGGGTCTTGGGGAACCGCAATCACACGTCGGCGTAATGTGGCGCGGTCGATGGTGTAGAGGGAGAGACCATCAATGAAAATATCACCGAAACAGGATGCAAGAGGGTCCAGGAGCCGTAGAAGAAGTAGGGCGAGTGATGATTTACCACTATTCATGGTGTAAGTGAATAACCACGAATCATGTTTTGAGGGCAGTACTCACCTGCCGGTACGTCCGCAAACTGCCACCTTTTGCCCCGGCTCAATGGTAAGCGTGAGGTTCTGAAGAGCAAGATTGGCGTAGTCTGAAGCTATGTTCGATCTATTCTCATTCA